GGGGGGAGAGAAGGGGAAGGGTGGGAGACGTTGGGGTGACGTGACGACCGTTGTTGCTCAGCAGATCAGAGGCTTAGCAACTCGGGCTATAATATTACAGGTAGGTTTTCTTCTTCCTTCTTTTTCTTCTTGGGAGGGAGGAGGGGGTGTGTTTGGGGGTTTGGCATTACCCGTTACTTTGTTGGTATTGTTATCCTCTTATCGTGACCTTTCCCCCCCCTGCCATGTATAATATGTATGTGCGTGTATATGCATATCTATCATTCATGTTTTATGCCACCTCTCCGTCTCGCCTACTACGATATTCACATCATTTTCATGCCTTTGCAGAGGGTGATTTTAACCTGCGGCCGGGACAGCGTCTGTGCTCATTCTCCACGAAGGGGTCGTGCGCAGATTATCCCTATTACTACGAATATCCTACCTGTCATGACTGCTTGTACTCGTTACGCCCCTACTACTCGTACATCTTCAACTCCATGTCACTGCTCTCTGCTTCTGTACCAGGGGGCTCTGCAATTTCCAGACTTCTGGGCCCCTGAGGTTTTATCTGATATACATGTATATATATATTCATCTTGTTCTTTTATTCTTTCATCCTTCCTTTCCCCTTCTCTGTACGGAGCGATATAACCTGTACGGAGTAGAGCTATTCCGTCTAGTTCAGAGTAATACCACATATCTACTGTGGTGGCGGCTCGGACCATCAGAGAAAGTGGCTACTTGTTACTGCTAGAAATACCACCTTCGACAAACTACAATATACCATAGTTGTGCTGAACCTACACGAGGCGCACGTGTACACATGCTTACGGGTTGAAAGGATGGCGGGACGATGTAACTGAATGGATTTTTCTCCTTCTTTTCTCCCCTTCTTTCTCTCTTCTCGCTGCGATGCTGCCTGTTAGGCTATAGAGGTCGAGCAGTAGTTTAGAGCATGGCGTTGGCAGTGTAGCATCGAGGTACAGCCAAAGGAGACAAGACATCACTCATACTGCTTTGTCGAAAACACCGTAAACAACGCCTCAGCCCGTCCTGCCAGTCCGGCCCTCACGAGAACGTCTGCCGACTTGCGACGAAGCTCATTCAAGTGCTCGCCTCCATCAAAGGCCAAAGGACAAGGATCCGAACCCGTGCCCGTGCCCGTGCCCGTGTCCGTGCCCGTGCTGCTGCTGACATCTGTATCCTTGTCTGCCGTGCCCTCGTACGCCGCAACAGTCGTGAGCCTGGCGATGAACACGGCAAACAAGTCCTGCGCGATGAGCTGCAGGGGCGTGTCCTCGGTGGAGAGGGAAAGGCCCGTCATACCCTCCCGGCCGTCGTCGGCTTCGCGGGGAGTGTGCCGCCGGGGCCCGTCAACGACGGCTTCGTGGTTCAGCACGGGCACGGAGAGAAAGGTCGGCTCGGCGTTCGTGGGCCATCGCATGGTCTTCCTGGAGAGCAGCAGCGCCCCACAGTCGCCGAGTATGGCGTCGGCCCGCGTCGTGCGGCACACTGTGTGCTTCCTCGGGTATACCAGCTCGCGCCGGCGGGCTGTGCCCGTATCCTCACCGCGCCACGTCTCTTGCGCGTCAGCCGACGACGGCCGCCACAGCGTCGGCCGCTGCACCCAACGCTCCATGGACCACAGCGTCAGCCCGAGCACGGCCTCGAGCTGACCCCCGTCAGCGGTCCAGCCACTGCCCTGGTGCAGTATCTGGAGGCAGATCGGCGTTGGGAGAGGAGCGCCCTCCTCCTCCGTCTTGAACTGTCGGACTCTGCAGCCCATGGTCCACACCAGCGCTGTCCAGGTGACCTGCGGGAGCCACAGCCGGACCGTCTCCTCGAGGGCGGCCTTGAGCTTGAGAGCCACGTCCCTGGCTCCCGACTTCCAGGCGCTGTCGGGGCCCTGTATGGACGGGCCCGTCAGCCAGCCCAGACGGCATCGTACGTGGACCACCTTGGCCGCTGGGTTGGGCATGGCATCCGTCTCCCTGGCCTCCTCGAGATCGACGCCCCCCTTGCACGCGCCAGGCCAGGCCTCGAGGCCCTGCGTCTCTATCGTACGGCAGACGCTGGCTGTGGCGTGTGCCAGGGCGGCATCTACTCTACAAGGCCCAGGTACGTATCCGGACTCATCATCGCTGTTCCAGGACACAACCGTCATCGAAGATTCCGGCCCGTGATGGCATCTGAGACTCATCGGTACGTCGAGCACGGTCGTGCTGCCCTGCGTGACATCGTTTGCGTCCAGCGGTAGCCTCCCTCCGTCGAGTATCGCAAAGTAAGTATCTATCTAGACTCAGCAAGCTTCTACCATGATCCAGGAGCTCGGAGAGGGATGCACAGATCCTGAAAACCCCACAACATACCTTCTATACGGGCCGAGCCTTGGCCATCTGTAGAGCCTGAGACGACGATGTCGGTAGCCTGCCATTCCAGCTCGTAGCCCTCTATCCGGCCCTGAGCCTTGTGCAGGCGATTCATATTCCTGTCGAGGGTATTGCTACGGAGAAAGGCGCGCACGGCCGTCATGATGATGGTGCAGATGAGCTGGTACAGCGCAACGGTGCCGTGGATGCCGCGTAGGCCGATGAACTGGGCGATCCAGCCAACCATGGTGAGGGCTGAGCTGGCGTACACAACGCCACTCCTCGGGTTGGCGTCACCCGTAGCCTTCCACGCGGTGATGTACTCGCTCTTGGCCTCGCTGTAGGCAAACGGGCGAAACTCCTGGTCTCCGACGCGCTGGTTGCCCGGCTGGAGCCAGTAGATGCGGTCGGCCGGCTTGCCGTCGACGTTCTTACTTGTGTCGGGACGGGCGTGCTCGCCTGACGCCTCGCGCCGCAGCAGGATGAAGAGCCGCTTCTTGGAGAAGGTCTGGATCACCCCAGCCGACAGGCTCATGCCGAAGAATATGACGACGGTGCCTACAGAGTACAGGACAAAGAAGGGCGTGGTTTCACGGCCATCGCTCTTTCCTGACAGCTTGGGGCTGTAGAAAGTGGCCCACGCGGCGAATCCGATGGCGCTCATCTGGAGGGCATAGCCGAATATGGCGGCCATGAAGACATACGTGAGAGCCAAGCTCGACTTGCGCACGCCGAGGTTGAGTGACAGGTTGGGGTACGGTGCAAACCCGGTCAGATCGGGTATGGGGTTTCCGTCCCGCAATCTCCTCTTCGGGGTGGTGGGACCGTTATTGACGGCAGCACGGCGTCGACGCAGCGAGGTTACGCCCTGCGGTGAGGTCACTGCGCTGTCCGTGTCTAACCCTGGATCCTGGCTCTCCAAGTCAGGCTTCACCTCGCTGTCGTATCTCGCGCCGTGCTTCTCCGTGAGCCGGACAACCCCCCAGAAGAGCCGTGACCAGTCTGAACCTGTCGGCGACTTGGCAGGGTCGGCACTGGTCATCGTCGCGGGACCTCTATTGTCACGCGCGTTCCGGAGGTTCCTCAGGATCCAGACGCGGATTGGCCACCACAAGGTGCCGTCTACTACGCCGATATTTTCCCAGCCAGAAAAGGGCCCTGGTTCGGGATCCTGCTGGTACATCGCCCACAAGGCACCCTTCTGCCTCGTCGTGAGGGTAGCCAGGGCCTGCCTCGGGAGGGCTATGCCGCAGGGTGGCTTGCTGTCCATCACACGGCTGCCGTACTGTGCGGTATCATGGCGGTTCCACTCCTCGCGCGGCAGCAGCGGGCTAGGTTCGTAGTAGCCCCGTGCAGATTCGGGTTCGCGGTACATGAACTCGAGGATGCGGGGCCGCCCAAAGACGCGGCAGATGCCGCCGTCGGACCAGAGCTCGCACACATCTTGGCTAGTGGACGAGCAGAGCTCGACCTCTGCCGCCCCGTAGGGCTCCCGCGCCCGCCCGACGAGCGACTTGAGTAGCGAGTCGCCCGACACGCGGATGGCCGACACGACCGTCGTGATGATGCCCAGCGGGGCTGACGAGAAGACGAGCATGTCCATGACGGTCACGACCTGACTCAGGAACTGCTTCGTCACCTGCTCGCCGAACAGCGAGATGATGGGCGCCAGGTCGGACGCAAAGTTGTTGGTCAGGTCGTCCCACCACCCGTCGTCTGAATCGGGCTCCCCTCCGAACGACGCCTGAGCTGGCCTGGCTACGATGGTCATGATGACCACGATGACCAGGAGCGTCGCTCTGGCACCTGCAGCCATTTTCCTTGCCTAGGATATATTCTCCTTCTTCTCCTTGTCCTTTAAGGCGTATGTCCCTAGCTACCGTCCCCGCATAGCAGGGAGGTGCCCAAAGACTGTCCAACAGTCGCTTGTCTCAACGCTGGCGATTGGGTTGGTACGAGGCGAAGACGTCTCCCTATGGCGATTATCGATGCCGTTGACGATTACGGTGTTGTTCGTCCCGGATATCGAGGGTGTGATTGTATACTAATATATATGTATCCCGCCTTGCGCGGACGTGGCGAAGCCGTACAAATGCCGTACGTAGTAAGACGCATTGGGGGGGTGGGCAGTGAGCGGGCGCTTATGCATCGACAGGGGGCTTGTCAGAGACTGTCAGCACAGCAGCAGGCAGCATCGCATGGCTACAATAACTAACATGACGCGTGAAGGAAATATGACGGATCACAGGTCTTGAAAGTAACATGATACTCGTCTGGAGCACGGACGGGTTGGAACCGGTAGAAGTGTCTGGCAGATGCGGTTTCCCCATGGGGCTTGGCCCTTACTCCCTTGCCTCTCTCTCCTTTGCAGGCATCGCTCAAAACGAGATGATACCCTCTACATCGCATCGTTCATTGACAACCATGGCGCATAAGTAGGTTCAAGAGCTTCTTCTAGTACTATTAGGACCAACCCCGTAGGAGGTAATACTCCGTATGCCTAGGATGATCGTTCGGAGAGGAACCAGGGCGGAATCTACTAGATGCATCACAAGGAAGGACCAAGAGATCATATCAAGATCATTTTAGTAGATATCTATTCCATACATAGCCGACTCCCTAAACCCGTAAACACTTGAAGAAACCTGAACGTTTTCTCTGACCGTCCCAACAGCTATTATTATAGATCCAGGTGGTTTTTTCTTCCCAGTACTTTCCTTTTTTTGAGACATACCAAGATCACCAGGAAGAAAGAAAAGCGCATCAACGACCAACCCAAGCCCGCCCAAAACAAGGCATCTTATCAGAGGATGGAAAAAAAAAGGAAGATGTGTGTGTGTGTGTGTGTGTGTGCGTGCGTGTGAACGGGTGTGGGGGATTAACAAAAGAGAGAGGTAAAGACGTGGAGTTTTGTAAAGTAATAGGGTACAAGAACGAAAGAGCCTGAGCAGAAGAAAGGACAAGAATCAATGTTGCGACGACCCACTAGCACGACGTGTACTCGAGGCCGTCGACGCGCCGTCGATGCTAGGACAGCACCCGGGGGCATCACAGTTGTCGATGCACTCGAGGAGGCAGACCTCGCGGCCGGAAAGCTCCTGGGGGGGGTCGAGGGGAGGCGTGGTGGCGGCAGGAGTGTCGACGACGGTGGACCCGTCGGCGCCGCCGGAGCCAGCGGGGGCAGCGGAGGAGTTGCCGCTGCGGTCGAGGAAGAACTCGGGCTGGATGGTGGCGCTGTGGATACCGAAGCCGTGAAGGCACTTGCGGGCCCTCTTGGCGAGCTGCATGTACTTTGCGCCGCTGTCCGAGTCGAGGGGGAAGCTGACCTCGAGGTGCATGCTGGCGACGACCTTGGTGTCGGAGAGCTGCCAGATGTGCATATGGTGGCAGGTGACGACGCCGGGGAGGGCCTCGATGTCCTCGCGGATCTCGGGGACGCTGATGTGGTCCGGGGTGGCCTGGAGGAGGATCTTGGACGTGGCGCGCGTGAGGGGCACGGCCGTCTTGAGGATGATGGCCGTGATGACGAGCGACACGGCCGGATCGGCGTAGTACTTGCCCGGCAGGTCGGTGAGCCAGATGATCAGGGCGGTAACGATGACGCCGATGTTGCCCAGGGCATCACCGATGACGTGCAGAACCATGGCGTTCATGCCCATGTCGTCGTGGCTGTGGCCGCCGCCCTTGGAGCCGTCCTTGGGCAGCGTATGGTTATGGCCCACGTGGACGCTCGAGTCGCGACGCTTGCGGTTGACGCTGGTGACGGGTTCGCAGGCTCCGTGGCCGTGGCCGTGGCCGTGCTCGTGGCCATGGTCCTTCTTGAGAAGGGGGGACGACTCGTCGGCCGCTCCCTCGGAGTGCTGGTGATGCGGAGAGGCCCTCTTGTCGTTGCTGTGGACGTGGTGCTCATCGTTGTCCTCCTCCGTCTCGCTGTCCTCGGGGTCGGGCGACGCGGCAGCACGGCTCACGGCGATGATGTCCTTGCGGAAGCTGGCAGGGTGGATGCTCATGTCGCCGATGCTGGTGAAGCGCGAGTGTCCGCCGCTCCTGCTGGACTGGCGGCGGCCACGGTTGCGCGGCTGTGAGTCGGCGGCTGCGTCGGTCGTCTTGTACACGATGCTCTCGGGGAAGACATCGGCCACGTCGCCATTCTCGTCGGCGATGTCAGCGGCGAAGCCCCTGCTAGATCCGATCCTCTCTTCCTCGTCGTCGTGGGAGTGTCCGTGGTCGTGGTCGTGCTCGCCGTGGCTGTGGGGGTGGCCGTGATCGTGGTCGTGATCGTGACCTCCTCCGGGACCGTGGGAGTGGCCGTGGCCGCCGAGGACGACAAAACCCACGAGGTTGGAGAAGAGGCCGGCGCAGCCGACGATGAGGATCAGCTGCGGGTTATTGATGACGGGTGGTTCGACGAATCGCGTGACGGCTTCGAGGATGATGGAGACGCAGAGAGCAATGAGGAAGACGGCGTTGAAAAAGGCACCCAGGATCTCGGCGCGAACCCACTGCAGTCGTCTTGTCAGTAACACTTCTCTCCTCTTTTCTCGTTTTTGCTTGATCAGATAGTGACGCCGGGGAAGGAGAGAGGAAGGACGAGATGTGACGTACGCCAAAGGTGAACTCATCGGTGCTGGCCTTTTGAGCGGCGACAACAGCCCACAGGCCAATAACCAGGGAGATGATATCGTTGAGCTACGACGCAATATTAGCAAGTGAGGAAGAGGGAGGGACAGAGAGGGAAAGACAAAGATGACTGCTTACCATGTGGAAGGCATCGGCCGTCAGAGCCAGAGAATGCGCCAGGAGGCCTACAATCAGCTCAAGCAAGAAGAAGGCAAGATCAATGGCAATCATGACCTTGATGCGGGTCGACTTGGACCAGACCATCTTGAAGGACATGATGGGCGATGTGCGTGTCTGTGGTTGCACGGATAAGGAGAGGAAGAAGTGACAGGAACGCGAGAGAGGAAGAGGGAGGAGAAGGGAGGAGGGAGAAGGGGAGGGGGGGAAAGTCGATGATGATGTCTCCCTTGCGATACCGGTGCTGATAAGATGAGGAGAGGGAGGGAAAGGGAGAGAGAAAAGAGAGGGGTCGTCAAAGTTGGGCGCGCGCGCGAGAAAAGACAAAAAGGTTAATACACTCGCCTCTTTTCTCTCCTATCCGTTCAACCTAACCCCCGTCTCTCTTAAGGGTTGTGAGGGTGATATGGAAGGGGAAGAAAAGAAAAAAAAAATGGGTTTCTGGGAGTGGAGCCTTTCTCCCTCTCTCTCTCTTTTCAGTTTTATTTTTCTTCTGCTTCTTCTCATGGTATCAGGAATGGAGATGGCTCTGACATCTTTGAAAGTGGCGTCAGCTCAAGGGAAGCGGGTTCCGAAGGGGGAAGGAAAGGGAAGAAAAAATGGAGCGAAATTCGCAATTCGAGCGGGCGGCGGATTAAAGGCTCGGGGCGCCGATCAGATTTGTCTTAGGGTGAAGAGAAGAGGCCAGGAGAGGCCAGAGGAGGGTCGCAATCAACTTCTGAAGAGCTTGGAGTCTTAGCAAATGGTTATATTACAGTGGTAAAAGTACCTCGGCGGCCGGGGAATACGACCATATCTTCCGGATAATTGGATTTTGGATCTTGTTCCAACCGGAAATAAAGTAGAGATGGCATGGGATAGGCATCGTAGGATGCGAACAGAGCCTCTTACATGTAGACTCGATTTTTTTCTTGTTTTATCCCCAACTCTTCTTCTTCCCTCTTTGCTTTCCCCCCCCCTTTCTTTCCCTAGCCCTTGTCTTCTTTTCACGGTACAGACACATGGGATATTCACCGGGCCGCTTCACTCTTTCTCCTGTCGGAATTACCGACGGCAAGCGGCACGACAGAGGGGCCACTCCTTGCTTGGTCATACATTGACAATACAAATAGCCTGCGACGACCGACACGATTATAACGGGAGTGAAAATTTTGCCGGCTGTAGTAATCGCTTACTCATTGAAGCAGCCAGTAACGGAGATACGAGTAGTATAGAGTGGTCAAGAGTAGCGGGATATAGTGATTGGAGTGATGGACCACAACATACCTTCGTGGCTCGAGTGTACGGGTATGAGCTTAAACAGGGTCGCGTTGTGCTTCCTGCCGGCGACAACACACGATGGCCGGCAGGCGTGCATACGGCGATCTCTGCCTACTGGTACGTCCTAGATCGGTGAGTGTGTGCCTTGGTGCTTGCCTTCCAAGGAAAGGAAATCTATCTATGAGGTTATCTACAGATGTGCGCGCGGCAAACAGCTTCTGGCTGCTTAGTCATACAATATTGGATGCCACAGCGTTGCCTAGTGCCGGGTAGCTCAGGGCCCCAGGCTCTCAACAAGTGCGGGGAGTCGGGACAGTTGACTGTTATCGGCAACCGACAGCTTCGGGGGGGAGGAGGAGATGATGTCAGTCGGCTCGGCGGCCTTTTGACTCCTCAGCCCGTATCACCACATTCACAAGTCATCATCACGCGAGGAAGAGGGATTATCCAGAACGAAGGATACTGCAAACTAGGAGAAAAATTAGCACACGCAAACTTACAATGGGTACCCGTCCTCCGGCCAAGGCTGGGTCGTGGTACGTCAGTGACGCCGAGACGCTGAACGAGGAGCTGGATGAGTATCTGAGCCGCGTGCCCGATAGCATCAACGGCTCCCCGTCCCCTATCGCGGGAGCGAGGATGGTTATTGCACCGTGAGTATGCGCTCATATACAGGAGAACCTCGCACGGGAGAGCCGAGAAGCTGGAAAGCAGCGGCGGCGGCGGCAGCAGCAGTAGCAGCAGCGACGACAGCCCCCACTTTCTCCCTCATCACTATGTGACGGAATGACTCGACTGACCTGGAATGCGTAGACACGCCGGCTTCACCTACTCTGGACCATGCGCAGCATGGGCCTACAAGCTGCTAGACGTGAGCAGGGCAAAGCGCGTCTTCCTCCTCGGCCCTTCGCACACGTACTACCTGTCCGGTTGCGCGGTGACGACCTTTGACCGGTATCAGACGCCGTTTGGCGCGTTGGAGGTGGACCGCGAGACGGTGGACCGGGTGAAGCAGGCCGGGGGCTTCGGCGACATACCGCCACGCAAGGACACGGCGGAGCACTCCCTGGAGATGCACACGCCCTACATCTACAAGAGGCTCGAGCAGGAGTTTGGCAGTGACGATCCCGCGGCCAACTTCCCGAAGCTGGTGCCCATACTCATCGGCGACAACGACGGCGCCGAGGAGAAGGAGGTGGCCAAGGTGCTGGCCCCCTACCTGGCGGACCCGGAGAGCGTCTTCGTCGTCAGCTCCGACTTCTGCCACTGGGGCGGAAACTTCTCGTACACGGTGCACGCTCCCGACGGCGACTGGCGCGGGAACCTCCAGCGGCTCCGGTCGAGGGACCGCAACGCGCCGGCGGGGATCCCTATACACGAGACGATCCGGCTCGTCGACCAGGCCGCCATGGACGCCGTCGAGAGCGGGAGCCACGATGCGTTCGTGTCTAATCTGGCCCTCACGGGAAACACGGTCTGCGGGAGGCACCCTATCGGCGTGGCCATGGCGGCGCTGGAGCTGCTCGGCGGGAAGAGCAGGTTCAAGGTGGTGCAGTATCAGAGGAGTAACCTGGTGCAGTCCCCGTCGGACTTCAGCGTCAGCTACGTATCTGCGTATGCTGTGGTGTAGCAGCATCTATTATCGAGAGAGAGAGAGAGGGAGCGATAGAGCACCGTGTTACTTTCTTCGTCGGCAGGACCGCTGCTGTTGCTGCTTCTTTACTCTGTGCGTGCTTGTGTCCCATGGGGCGGGTCTAATCTATAGGTTCAAACGATACGAGTCCCATGACTGGTTTGGCAATTGATGGTCCGGTCAGATGAGTAGCGGCATGGGTTACAGATACAGACCAATGCCGTAATACAACATTCCGAGTTTTATTACCTGGGCAAGCCAGCTGCATCCGTAGGCCTTGACAGCACATGGGGAAATATGCTATTAATATCGTGAAAGTGCCGACCAATTTCAACCGTCATACCTACACGGACTATTAAGACATACATACGGAGCAGGGGCATATGTACTAGGGTCCAGGGAGGGACTACCGAGTGTTACTAGTACTAGTATTATCTGCCCGTGAGATACCACACTGTACGGAGGTATGAGTGAGATGACTTCCCGTACCGTGTGATTACTACCTGTACGCACCCGGCACTAAATCCAGGCTCGGAGGGAGGGGGGGAGGGGGGGCAAATGCTTGCCACCTGTAGGCTGTGCGTCCACGGCAAACAACCTTGAATTTTGGCGTTCGGTAGGCTGTATTTATCATTTCCAATGTACGAGCAGTAATATATATATATATGTATTGGAACTATGCGTTACGCTGTACGAAGCAACAGACCCGACCCCCAGTCGACAAGCCCCACAGCCAATTATACTTCTTCTTCTCCCTCTCTTTCTTCCTTCCTTTTCTTTTCAACATGCACGTACGAGTATTACATATACGATGTGCATAGTTATACGGAGAACATGTGTAGGATCATGCCCACCCATTCCCTTCCTTGCCGTGTGCATTAATGAGCACACACACACACACACACACACCCACACTTGTGTACACCCACACTTGCGCACACACACATACACACACTCTCTCTCAAGAAAAGGGAGGGGGGGGGGGGCTTCAATGAGCAATACCATGTTACAGAGACGTCAAAAGGAAACTCGACAAACCTGACCCGTCGCAGCTTGTCGCACAGAAATGAAAATGGTTGGCTTAACCTGGAACCAGATGATGCTCTTCTGAGACAAGGGTCCTGATTCAGGCACGGGGTTAAATCCACTGCTAGACAAGGGAGGGGCAACCATTACGGCCCTTTTTGTACAGGCTGCGGGATGGAGAGTGTTGGAAGGATGCAACTCCAGCATTGAACAATACGGGTAGGAGGAACAGTTGGCGCTAAAGGGAAGGCAATGCTTGGGGGCGATGCCTGGGGGCGATGCCTGCATAGTGGCGGGTAGGCCTCCATTGGACCTGGTAGTGAGAGAGAGAGACAGAGAGAGAGACAGAGAGAGACAGAGAGAGACAGAGAGAGAGAGAGAGAGCGTCGCCCCCAAGGCCTCCTCCCTCCCACTATAGGCCATGACCTATGCGGCATGCCTGAGCCCTGAAGTCAGCATTATCCACAGGCTTAAACCGCCACTAACACACCATATTCACAGCCACCCCTGTACTCGTATCCGTACATGCACATGACCTTACAGCGTATCACACATGTATTACGTAGGGACCTCAGAAAGAGCACGAGTTTCGTCGCAGCGAACGGGTACGAGAATTACGAGCAGGCAGCATACAGCCCGGCAGTCTCCTGGTCTAGCTCTGGTCTAGCAGAGGCTTAGCCATCGCAGTCTTCACAGTACTGGCACGCTGCAATGCGGGCTAGTGGCACTAGATGGAGTACGGATTACTGGTGTACGAGTAATGGTGGTAGTATCGGGTACCCTATCAGGTCAGGCCCACTGCCAGGAGTAGCAGGTACCGTCGACAGGTTGAAGTATGGGTCCCACCAGCAGCCGTTTCCCTTTTGTCGCCCCTGTAACCTTTGACCATAATTACTGCATATTTACTTACTGGCCACCGTCCGTATTACTGGTCCGTCTGGTTAGACGCGCCCCTTTCCACGACTTCGAACCTCTGGCCCTCTCTCCAATCCCTTCCATCTCCCGTCATCTACTTCCCCTTCAACACTGGCAGATCAATCTCTTCATCCCTCGTGCCATCCATCTAGCCAGGACTTCACTCTACATTCTCCTCTCTTCTTCTCCTCCACCACCCTTGATTCTTCCTCTCCCTGTCATCTAATCACTTATTTTTTTTTCTCGTTGTTGCATTCTCTTAGAGAGAGCGACAGGACAGGAAAACGACATCTGGGTTCTCCCCCCCCCCCTTCCCTTCTCTCCTAAAGCAACGACGTGCTTTTGCGTCTTTCTTCTCGAATCACAATGAGCGTAAGTAAAGCTGTTGATGTTTCTTTGCATTCGCGGTCTCCCGATCTGAATTGCGCCTCACCTCACCCAGAACCAGGTAAACTGACAGTCGTGACACAGAACTACGGCGGGTAAGTCGCGACACTGTTGGACCACCATACGCGAAACTGACGAGAATCCCCTGCGGAAGATACGGCGGAAGGCCTAACCCTTATGCTCAGCAAGAGCCCGCTCCCAGCTACGGCGGCTACAACGGCGGCTACGGTGGTGGCGACAACGCAGGATATGCTGCCCCCGCCCAGACACAAGGTGGCTACGGTCAGTACAACCAGCAATCCTACGGCTCGGGCCGTGAGGCTCAGAACTCATTGGACGGCGGTTACGCCGGTACGATTCAATACCCCAGCAGCCGCCCACGATGGAATTGATTTCGAATGCATGCGTCCATGGGTTTGTGTGTGTATGGACGCGGTGGAAGGCTGACGAGTGCGACCCCGGAAACACAGGCTCCGGAGTTGAGATGGCCCCTCTAGCCACGAACGGAGCGTCGGTCGGACGCACCGACCCCAACGCCATCCTCAACGAGTGCCGCGACATCGACCGCGGCATCGACGGCATCGAGCGCAACCTCGAGTCGCTGCGGATGCTGCAGCAGCGCACGCTGGACGACGCTGACGGCTCCGCGTCCAGCGCTGCCAACCGCCAGCTCGACGGCCTGTCGACCGAGACCATGGCCAACTACCGCGCGCTGACGGAGCGCGTGCGCGCCGTCAAGTCGGACCCCGACTCCCGCACGCCCAAGAACAGCCCGCAGGTGGGCCGCGTGGACCGCCGGCTCAAGGACGCCATCCGCCAGTACCAGTCGGTCGAGTCGCAGTTCCGCAAGCGCACGCAGGACCAGATGGCGCGCCAGTACCGGATCGTGCGCCCCGACGCCACCGAGGACGAGGTGCGCGCGGCCGTCGAGGACACGTCGAGCAACGGCCAGGTCTTCCAGCAGGCCATGATGAACAGCGACCGCCAGGGCCGGGCCCGCGCCGCCCTCAGCGCCGTGCAGGACCGCCACGACGCCCTGGTCAAGATCGAGCAGCAGATGGTGGAGCTGGCCCAGCTCTTCCAGGACATGGACACGCTCGTCGTGCAGCAGGAAGAGGCCGTCGTCCAGATCGAGCAGAAGGGCGAGGAGGTGGTGGACAACCTCGACAAGGGCAACCAGGAGATTGGCGTGGCCGTCAACACGGCGCGCGCCACCCGCAAGAAGAAGTGGATCTGCCTGGGCATCAGCGTGGCCATCGTGCTCATCATCGTCATCATCGTCGTCGTCTACTTTGTCGTCGTCAAGGGTGACGACGACGACAACAAGAAGAAGCGCTCCGTCGGCAACCTCGAGACCATGCCCTTCATCGGCATCAACTCGCGCATCATCGGCCGTGCCACCCCCGCAGCTCAAGATCTCAGCCGTGTAATGCGGGAGCGTCTGCATCTGCCACAGATGCCGCATAACTAGGACTCCCTCCCTCCTCCGCTCACCCTCGTTTCTTCTCTCTCTCTTCCATCATCATCTATCCCCTTTCATCTCGAAACCTATCACACTCGCTTCGTCCAACTTAATTCCCTTTTCTCTCTTGAAAGATACATCTTGACCAGGGTTGATCTGTTGACCCTACAAAAGCCGGGGTTGGAGACATATTGGCCGAAAGAAGAAACAAACAAAAAAAGCCTTATAGAAGCCCTATTCATGCTTGCATGGTAACCCGGACGGTCATGGGCGTGACCGTCTCTTTTCCGTGTTTTGTCTCTCGAACCCTTTTCCCTCGTTTAGCCAAGGTTGCCATGCTCCCTTTCTTCTTCTTCATTGTTGCGTCTGAATAACTATAACTGTTTCTTGGCATAGAGAGAAACTATTCTTGCGTGTGTTTTCTTCTTCTTTCTCTTTTCGTTTTCGTCTTCTATTTTGCACTCCCCCGTATGAATTCTTCCTTGTCATTTTCTTGGTTTGTTTTTTTGGAGGGCGGGGTGGGAGAGGGGGGAGGGCAGTTGTTTTTTTATATTACATGTTTATTATATCCAGTATTTTTGATTATTTACTTTGATTGAACTTTTTGTATGTTTCATCTTGTGTCTTTGGTCCCCCTCCCCCTCTCCTTTTTGACTGTATCTTGTTGTGGATTCCGCCATGTACATTACCAGGTAGGAAATGCATCTGCAAAATGAAATTCATATCTGGGCCAGGCAATAACAATTCGCGGATGGGGAATTATACGTAGAGTGTGAGCGGAGTGTGAGCGGAGCGAGAATTCCCGGTAGGGCCGGCGGAGGAGAGGCATTGACTATAAGATAGCTAGGCTTGCTGGATCACATCTCATCATCGACGTGGTAGAATAGTAGTAGGGGGGGGGGGGGGGGGAGGGGGCAAGAAGAGGAAGAAGATGAAAAGATCATTCCGCTCCTTCCTCCTCAGTCTTGACATGGTGCGGACCCCTGTGAGCCTGGGAGACGACCCTCTTCAACACGCCCATTCTCCTGTTGAAGTCGTCCATGAGGACAGCGACATGCTCGTGTCTCCCCGAAGCGTCATCATTGTCACCATCTGTGTTGCGGGCAGCGGGAGGGGGAGGGGGAGCGGCGACCGGCTCCCTCTGTACGCCTTCTATGCGCAGCATGCCCTGTACATCATCGCTCTCGTCGTCGCCGTCGCCGTCGCCGCCACCGTCGTCGTCGTCGTCGTCATCCTGATGCTCTTCACCACGGTCAGCATCATGCGTCGATTGATTCTGCGAGCGGGGTCGTTTCTGATGCTGCTGCTTCTGCTTCTGCATCTTCTTCCTCTGCTGCAGCAGATGCGCATCCGTGACGGCAAAGGACTCATTCAGACTTGAAGCCCACGATACGCTCCACCCTGTCGTCGTCGTCGTCGTCGTCGTCTCTGCATCAGGTGCTTCTGGTGAGGATGTGGCTGTGGCTGTGGCTGTGGCTGTGGCTGTGGTGGTGGTGGCTGTGGTGGAAGACGTAGATGTGTTGGGGACCAGGTCGACAATCACGGACCGGTTGTTGATGTCGGATGCCGCAGCTGCGAGCATAGACGACCCGTCGTCGTCGGAGAAGATGTAGTGCACGCGTGGGTGGATGGTGGTGTGGGTGGATGAGTTGGTGACGAGGGTGAAGAGGGGCTTGAAAGTGCTCCCTGACGGATGCTGCTGCTCCGGAGACGGTGTTGGTGTCGGTGCTGGGGATTCCGTAGCAGCGACAGGGTGTTGTTCGTTTTCAGACATTTTCGGGTATTGAGGGAGGGGGGAGGGGGGAGGGGGGAAGAAAGGATGAAAATTCTTGAATGAATTGTTGTTGTTGTTGATGTTGTCGTCGTTGTTGTTGTATGCCAGAATACAGAGTAGGTGCGTGTGTCGCAGTCCTGGGGCCTGAAAAGCGATGCCTGGGCCACCCAATTTTCGACGTTTGGAGAGCACGTCTTATATACTGGCCAGTCGTAGTAATATATATATACATATACATATACATATACATATACATATACTTATACATATATATATATCTTTCAAAGTCCACTCTACTAATACCCCTTGACAGTCTACCTTTGACTGAGGATCTGCCATGTAACAATATTCATCGTTTGCTGAATACGATGGAGTGTCTGTGTTGAATCACACAAGCGAGACCACGAAAGATGGAGAAGAAGAAGAAAAGACGAGAAACAAACGTAGTAAAGGGAATATCGTGGCGTATAGATACTAGTTGAAGATTGCCGATGAGGTAGCCGGATACCACTAAATGCACTCGGTATCTGTCAATGTGAGGTAGCAAGTAGTAATAGTAACTGTTCGGATGGTAACAGATTTCCTGTATTTTCTACGTAGCCATGCCTACTTGATCGCCAAAGCCACATGGCATCAATCGTGATAGGAAGACTAAAACTCGACCGAGGCCTTTGATGATCCGCCGTGGAGGAAGGCAAACGAATGGAACCATCCTTACCAATCACCACGTACTACTATGTGCACTATCCGGAAGCTCTCTCTTATTTTACTCTTATTATGAATAATTATATCTATTTTCCAATGTCTTTTTAGGTCAGCAAATTTCTCGACATTACCATCGTCAAGATCCGTCCCATTTGGACGAGACAGCCGTCCAACGTCTACCTTCACATTGACCAACTCGCTGCCTTGGACTGTTTCCATTACCGACCTTCTTACAGGTCTACAGGATGGTTTCTTGGCCGTTCCAACCACGGAGATCACGCCTACTCACCACCCTCTATCCGCCGTCCGCTACCAGACAGAGGCCCCAGCCCGTGATGACCAACAAGGTCCGTCTTACCCCTCATGCTGTCGGGTTTGGCAGGGAGTGCAGGCACACGCAGTCGTCGAGAGGGCCAAACGAAGACGTCCTAGATGACATCAGTTTCCTATCAGCGTCCGGATGGGTGGGCGGGGTTTCGTGTGACCGTCCAAGGATGATGGATGCTATTGTTGTTGGCTACCGTCTATTCATGATGCAGGAGCCCGCAAACAGAGGGCGTCCGTGGAGGTGTGCGGCGCGACAGTCGCAGCCTCGGTGACACAAGATGCAAGATCCAATAGTCTCGCCACTACCCAACCTCGATGATGGAACCGGCCACACATGAGGGAGGGAGGGACGGCATAATGGTCGACCGGTCGCGATGTTGACGGTGCAGCTGCAGGTAACCAACAGATGCAAGCCTCATGATATATCTGACCTGCCGCTGTCCGCGGGGGCACACGACATGCAGTACCTCGGGGGGATCGTTGGCTTGTGCGCTGATGAGCGAGACATGTCACACCTCTCTTTTTTTTTTTGCGGATATGGACCGTGGTCGAGGACGCCGAATCCTGCATCTCGCAGCAGCGTCCCATTTTCGACTATCCCCAAGATTTACTGATACAGATGCAACCCCTTCTTCGAAAGAAATCAGTTCAGATCACGCACACCCTCAACCAACCTGAGCAGCCAGCCAAGAATCTTACCAACAGGAGCCAACTCCCATGCAGTCTCTCTGCTTCTGCTGCATCTTGGGATGCGTTTTTTTCGGTCAGACTAGTTGAGTTCTGAGCATACAAGTCTGGTCCATGATAGCACACTCTCTCCAATCAGGGAGGTCAACCCAGCCGTGATGGGCTACGCTCGGCTCGATTTCACGACGCCAGCTAGGCGTCCCCGTTCTGGACCGCTCATGAAGCTGACGGAACCGACCTCGTTGCTGAGTACCCGAAGACAGCCAAGACAGCACCAAGGTGGACACCCTAGCCTTGGATTGATCGACCTCTTAAGCCGCCCCCCCCCCCCCCCCCCCGCCCCCCCCCGTACGCCGTTGGCCCGGGGCCGCCACTCACCCTTCACCTATCCCTCGAACCCGGCGCTGGACTGCTAGCTCAACTTGGCTTCTTCACAAGTTTAGAAATAGCAGGAGAGCATCGCGAGGCTTATGCGATACTTCCTCTCCTTCACGCAACTGCCGAATTCCTACGACTTTGGTGCTTCACGGCCATGAGTGGTGGCCAAGGTTCCCTTCCGGTCATCTCGACCATCCCTGACCCAGAGACGTTCTACACTCCGTCGGTATCCGTCGACGGCTGGAGCACTGATGGCTTCGAGTTCCTCCAGGACGACAGCGAGTACGTCGACGAGGATGGCAATCTCGTCGAGGTGGCGTCCGAGTATTCATCCTCTGTATCCCCGAGCATATACGACCACGAATTCAAACATGGACGTCGCTATCACAGCTACAAGAGTGGCCGCTACCCCGTCCCCAACGACCAATACCAGCAGCAATTGGAAGAGCTCAAGCACCACATTGCTTTCGAATTGATGGTGAGCGCCGTCAGATCATGGGTTGATGGAGAGCGGCTACCGGCTAACTCTGGTACTCTCCTTGAAGGGGGGCCTCTTGTTCTCCTCAGAGATCGACACTCGACCCCGGAAGATACTCGATATTGGCACAGGTGCCGGTAGGATATTCCCTAAACCAGCGCCGAGAGGCGTTCTCATCCTAGATTCCATCGAAAGAAGGAAGAAACTCATCCTCTAACCTTTCTCTGCAGGGTCCTGGGCGATCGATGGTAGATCCTCTTTGCGTGACAGCTCCTGCTAGACACGGCCTCTGCTGACAGTCATCAAGTGGCGGACAGATATCCCGGGGCAAGCATCATCGGGACCGATCTTTCCCCAATTCAGCCCACATGGGCGCCTCCGAACCTTGAGATGTTTGTCGACGACTGTGAAGACGACGAGTGGCTTGATGGGTCGGGATTCGACCTGGTCCACCTCCGAGACGTTGACGGGTTTCTAAGGAACCCTGGGGCTGTCATTGCTCAGGCTTACAAGTACATGCCCTCTTCCCCGTCCTGGATATCGTACCGCTGACCCCCCAGCGGCCACATTGTTCTCTTTGCTTACGCCGTATCAGAAACATCAGATCCGGGGGCTGGATCGAGTTCCAAGACTGCATACCTATTCCATACTGCGACGACGACTCGATGAAGGATGACGACCCGCTCAAGAGATTCTCAGAGCTGGTCAAGGAAGGGATGCACAAGCTCGGCTGCACACTACACGGTTCCCCGCGAAGCAAGGAATCCCTCGAGGAGGCCGGCTTCACCAATGTACAGCTGACGGTCAAGAAGGTGCCCATCGGTGCGTGGCCGCAGGACGAGAAGCTGCGATGCGTGGGTCTCCTGATGAGCTCGTACGTGTCGGGGTGTCTAGGAGGCTACGCCGCCAAGCCGTTCGAAGCTCTCAAGATTTCTCCCGCAGAGAGGGAGGCACTCATCAGGCAAGTGACTACGAGTCTGGAAGATAGGAGGATTCATCGTTACGCTCGGTATTCGATATGCTACGGGCAAAAGGAGTCCCGGGCGATGGATCTCAGGGAGTAGGGGCCACGGAATACGAGTCGTTCTTTTAGTCGGTAAATTTGAAATTCATTTCTCTCACTCAAAGGTGTAACTGCTTGACTTTCCATGATGACGATGATACCACGTTCCCACATGGCGTACCTGTCGAGTCGAATAAACGAAGCAGTTGCAAGGGTGGTGATGACATGTCTGGTTCGGTATCGCAGCTCTCTTATGCCCGACAAAAGGAAGGAAAGAAGAAAATCTCGGCAGTGGATAGAGGAGAATATATAATCAGATAAGAGATATATATATATATATATACGTATTCTCAATGCAACAGAGACCACTGGTGGTGTAAGTACTCGACAGTTTCAAAAGAAAGATCTCTACTGTGCGAAAATCGCGGGGGGGGGGGGGCAACTACAGGGTTAGTCATTTGGGCAAGGCTGACGAAAGTCTTACGACGATATCCCAAATTTCAATCTCTAGCTGCAACGCGCATCAACCAAGGCGCCATCATCATCTACGACAGCGACAAGCTGGCAAGTCTGGACGACGGTCTCAAATATAGATACAGCGAACATACAACACCGTCCGACTACTCAATCTCCAACAACTCCCCTTCCTTCCTACCTCATCGGACAGAATCCGACAGACCGCCTCTGCCCTGCTGGCCAGCAGCCGTTCACCACCAGCCATGACGATGACGACGACGACGACGGCAGCAGGCAGCGCGCAGACGGCGGCGGCGTCGATCCTCAACCACACGGCACCGTCCTACACGTTTCGGTTCTCCCCCTTCCTCCGGCAGACGTACCAGGTCGGCCTCCCGGCCGACAGGCCTGTATGCCGGGCCTTCCAGACGGGGACGTGCCCGAACGGCACGCGCTGCCAGGAGCGACACGTGGCGCCTGGGACGACGAACCCAGCCTCCACCATGGCGGATGGCGGCGGCGGCGGCGGCGGGGGACGGCCGCAGGGTGGCCTCAACAGCTTGGTGTGCAAGCACTGGCTGCGCGGGCTGTGCAAGAAGGGCGAGCACTGCGAGTTCCTGCACGAGTACAACCTCCGCAAGATGCCAGAGTGCAACTTCTTCATGCGCAACGGCTACTGCTCCAACGGCGACGAGTGCCTCTACCTGCACGTGGACCCTATGAGCCGTCTGCCACCCTGCCCGCACTACGACATGGGCTTCTGCCCCCTCGGCCCGCGCTGCGCGAAGAAGCACGTCAGGAGGAAGCTGTGCCCCTTCTACCTGGCCGGCTTCTGCCCCGACGGCCTCGTCTGCAAGGCCGGCGTGCACCCCAAGTGGAGGAAGGACCTCGACAGGCCCAGGGCCAGGAGCGAGGAGCGCAGGGAGCAGGAGGTCTATGCTGCTGCTGCCGCGGCCGCGGCCGGCACGCCGGATGACGATGCTGCTTCTGCTGCGAGGGATGACTACTTCCCCGGTCAGGGACAGCAGGGCCAATTCGACGGGAGGTTCGGCGGTGGCGGGGGCGGCGGTCACAGGGGGAGGGGAGGGGGCAAGTGGAGGGGTGGTGGGGGGAGGGGACGGTTCAGGGGACGTGGCCACTGATTCGATTCATCAGGGCGGGAGTTTTGACATGTCATTATTCTAGGGCGAGGGCGGATTCTCTTTTCTATTCCCTTCTTCTTTTTTCTTTGCTACCATTACGGTTACCATCACGGGACAGCAGAAAGGTTTATGCGAAACATGTATTTTTATTCTTAGTTTATAGAGTCGTGAATCGAAATGGCAAAAATGACATCATCATCATCCCTTACATGGTATGGCTGGCGGCCGATAAAAGTCCGGATTGGTAGATTGTGGAGAGAAAGTGCTAGATTCTCGATGGAGACGGTGCCCAGATGTTGCTACCGCTCTCAATGTCGGACCTCCACACATTCTTCTCTGGCGTGACGGCGATGAATTCGTGCGACGCCGCCGTGGCCCCATCGTCGCTGTCCTCGCTCGAGTGGCCGCCGGCGCTGCTGTCGGAGACGTTGGACTTCCATGTCGACAGCTGATCTACCTTGCGGATGCCCATCATCCACGAGACGAGAGAGCGGGGCACCCAGCGGCCGACGAAGCCGTAGATGCCGGCACCGAGACCGACACGGACAGAGTTGGCCACGACGGACCCGTCCATGACGTCGAAGACGGTGTTGTGAAGGTGGCGGAGGGAACTTCCGCGAAGGCCGCGGATGCGCCCACCCGAGATGGCAGAGCTGGTCTGGGAAACAAAGTTGCGGCCGTAGACGTGGCGGGCGCCGTCGGGCCAGATAAGCGTGTCCTCCGGGTTGCCGGCTGTGGTCGCCGTCGGCAGTGACGGAGGGATTCCCTGACGCGCCTGGTGGTTGCTGGGGACGAAACCGCTGAAGTCAAAGGTGCCGAGCTGCATGTGCGTGACCGGGATGTCGAGGGGCCGTAGCTCGGCAGTGAGAACCTCCGTGAAGGCCGACAGGGCGGAGCATACGGTGGCCTCGGGGGCGTGGAAGGGGGGGTTGATGGACGAGATTATCGAGGGCGTGAAGACGAGGACCTTGGGCGGCACCCAGCGCTCCCCCACCGGCTGGAGGCGAGACGTGAGCAGCGGGAGGAAAGCCTGGATGGCGAGGATGGGCTGGAGGAGGTGCGTGTTGAAGACGTCGGCAAAGTTGGAGGGGGCGATGGTGGCGATGGGCGACGTCTGGTAGTGCAGGCTCGGGATGAGGATGACAGATTTCAGCGTCAGCTGGTTGGGCCTGACGTTGGGAGCGGGAGGCTGGGGGGACTGGAGGTGGTGGGCGAAACGTTCAATGGCGGCACCGGCACTGGGAGGCTGTTGAATATGAGAGGAAATCAGCATATGTTTCTGAAAGAGGGTGGGGGGCGGGGAGGGGAAGGGAAGAGATACATCAGTCGTGTCTATGGTTAGGGGGCGAATATCCCTCCTGGAGAGTGACGAGACGGTAGACTCGTCCTCGGCCGCATTGCAGACAATGTAGACGACGAAGCCTCGCCTCTCCATATCCAGAGCGAGAGACTTTGTCAGAGGCAGCGAGGCGGACCCGGCAATGACGACAACCTCTGTCCGGCCGCCATTGCGAGCCCTCTTGGCCCTGCGAATCTTACGCATAGACTGGTTGTGCTGGTAGCCCTTGTATGCGATGGTGCCGCATGCCAGGACCACGACGCCCGTGATGATCTTGTGGTTCGCGATCCAGTCCTGGACGGCTTGGAGGCGAGAGGCGGCGGCGGCGGCAGGCGGCGGAGGTGGGGGTCGCGGCTTGACTGAGTCGGGGATCCATGCCTGTGATGATATGGTGTCGCGGACGTAGTGGGCTGCATGGTCGACGTGTTGGTCTATAAAGCTAGCCACATCGTCGGTGTAGCGACGCAGATAGAGAGGAATGTTCCCAAGCTAGGGGTGTGTACGTTGTCAGTACGGAGCAGCACATAGGGCGAGAGAGAATTTGATATGGGGGGAGGACGATTGTCGGGCATAGCCGGGGGGGGGGGGGGGGGGGGGGGGGGGGGGAGGGAGGGAGAAGACTGACAGCATCCAAGAACTGCTGGTCATCAGCGGACATGATGGTTACTCTCTACTTTGCAGCAATTACTTTGTAGTAAGCAGTCTCCCATGAGCCGGGGGGAGAAGAAGAGGAGAGAAAAAAACAAGGATGAACGGGTTGGGTAATGTCTTGGGCACGATGACGGAGAGATTTAAGTGTGGATCGAGGAAACATGTACGAGTACGACGAGTCGACGACGGTGAACGGAGCATGGGGGGAGAAAAGTTGTCGTCGGCTGAGTATCGGGGATCCGCTGGATTACCTGGCACAGTTTTTTGTGTATAGTGTGGCCACGGAATTTGACACTGTACTATAGGGTATCTGGCAGTGGTACTGCTGTTGCTTGGTGCATTCTATAGTTCCATCAATGTTTGTCACGATGCACCGAGTAATACCGGTAGTATTACTCTAGTCAGTCTGATGACAAGTGAGGGAAACGTAAGTATGGCGTGTGAGAGGTAAGAGCTAAAAGATGCTTATACTCGTACTGCTCCTCCGAGTTCGCAACACGCGTGCACCATCAATATGCATGTGCTCTGTCGTGATATGGATGATGCATGTACTCGTAGGTCCTTGCTGATATCAGGTTGTGCTGCCCATACAGAGGTGATTATGTGTGGTTACCCCGCAGACCGAGAAAGCCGTGACTCCAAGCTGTTAACGCTATACGAGGTAACTAAGGTATCAATTGCACTATTTTACAATGCCGGTGGGTGCCTCTGTTAGCTATTACCATAACAAGACGCAATGGTAGTACTTTGCTGGGTTGTTAGTAGCAAAACTGTCGTCACGTGATGATCTGCCACTACCGTATCCGCTTCCATTTACCCCACGCTCGGTTATCAGCGGGTGGATCCTTGGCCGTCCCGCTTCCTTGTAAGCTGCTGTTCCTGGGCTTATGCTGTCTCTCATCATTGCCGAGCATGGTGGTATTCTTTCTTGTATTGGTCATCTCATGATTGAGGGGACTCTATCTGAAGCCAAAAAGGCAAAGGAGAACAGGAAGGAAGAAAAAGGGAAGGAAAAAAAAAACCCAAGATGTTTCTTACCGACTATCTAAACCATCGCCGTGACTGGTATGTATCCATCCCACTTGAATTCTATACCTACAAAGGCTCAATAGCTCTCCCGTCATCTGACCAATAACTTCGATGATCAACCCGACAGCCGTCTCAAGCAGCAAGAGCGCTCAGACCGCCTCAAGCCATTCACCTCATACCATGGCCCGTTCAGCGTCCTGGACCGCGAGACCATCAACATGCCCATCGCGGAGCTCGTCCAGGCCGTGCAGAAGGATCCCAACAGGGCCGCCGCCATCCTAGAGACATACACCAAGGTAGCCGTCAAGGCACACGAAAAGACGAACTGCGTAACCGAGGTCATGGTGCCGTCGGCGCGCGAGTGGGTGGCGGACGGGTCCGTCAACCTCAGGGGCCCGCTGGCCGGCATCCCCATCAGCCTCAAGGATACCATCAACGTGGGCGGGTATGACTCGACAACGGGGATGAGCCGGTTCGTGGGCAACGCCAAGCCGGTAGACGGCTCCCATGTGCGGCTGCTCAAAGATGCGGGCGCGATCCCTTACGTCAAGACGAACATCCCCATCACCCTGCTCAGCTTCGAGTCGACAAACGACATCTGGGGCCGGTGCACGAATCCCTACAACGCGGCCTACAGCCCCGGGGGGTCGACAGGCGGGGAGGCCGCGCTGCTGGCCATGGGCGGCAGGATAGGCATCGGCAGCGACGTGGCCGGCAGCGTGCGCGTGCCCGCCCACTTCTCGGGAGTCTACTCGCTGCGCTGCTCGACGGGGCGCTGGCCCAAGGCGGGCGGCACCACACCCATGCAGGGGCAGGACGGCGTGCCGTCCGTCAACAGCCCCATGGCCCGCACGCTCGACGACCTCGCCTACTTCACCCGCTCCGTCGTGGGCATGCAGCCCTGGAAGTACGACTGCACGTGCCACCCGCTCGCGTGGCGGGCCGACGTCGAGGCCGAGTACGCCGATCCCGCCAGGAAGCTGCGCGTCGGCGTCCTGCGCACCGACGGCGTCGTCGACCCAAGCCCGGCGTGCAGGAGGGCCTTGGACATGGCCGAGGTCGCCCTTCGCGGCGCGGGCCACGAGATCGTCGACGTCAGCCCGCCCTCGCCCTACGAGGCCCTCCGTCTGGCGTCCATCCTGCTCTGCCACGACGGCCTGCGCACCGTCTTGTCCCTCCTGCGACCGGGGGAGTGGAATGACCCCGGCACAGCGCAGATGGTCGGGTACATGCGTCTGCCACGGCCGGTGCGCTACCTGCACTACCTGTGGGTGAAGTATGTCCGCGGCGACGCCGTCTGGGCCGGTCTGCTCGACAGCTGGAGTCCGAAGTCGGCCTACGAGGTCTGGGGGCTGAATGCGAGGCGCGAGGCCTACAGGCAGGAGTGGTCCGAGTGGTGGGATGGCGTTGACGTTGACTTCATCCTCACTACGCCCAATGCCACACCTGCTGTACCCCACGGTGCTATGCACGATGTTGTTAGTAGCTGTGGCTATACCTTCTTGTTCAATCTTGTGGGTCTTCTCTCCCTTTTGCATCCTGACATCTGCTTCTTCTTCTGCTTCTTCTTCTGCTTCTTCCCCTCCTTCCCTTCTTTTCCGATCCTGCTCGTTCTGCTTCTACCCCCATGCCTGACTAATCGCGAGCATAGATCGACTACACTGCTGGTATCCTCCCCGTCACTCACGTTGACAAGAACAAGGACCAGCTACCCGACGGATTCGACCTTACGAAGCTCAATGGCGTAGCACAAGGTGCCTACAAGCTGTACGATGCCGATGCCATGCATGGTCTTCCAGTCGGTGTCCAGGTTGTCGGGAGGAGACTGGAGGAGGAAAAGGTGCTTGCTCTGATGAAGAGGGTCGAGGATGCCCTGGGCAATGACAAGTTTCAGCTCCTCGAGGTTGACTAAGTCTGATTGGAATCCAGATAACAATCTTGAGTACTATCCAAAGCGTGTAAGCAAACGAGAAAATCAAACGAAGAACAACAAGATACGTCGTCAGACACGATGTTGGAGGGGGGTAATTCAAGCGATCCGACGCCGGTCTATCATCGCATAGCTGCTGGTACTTTTGAAATCATCAACACCACCACCAGGCATCCAGCCTCATCATCCGAAAAGACGAGACTCGGTTGCCTGACCTGTCCGTTCTTGCCCAACTTGCGTTATACCATGCAATTCAGAACATGTAAAACACATATGGCCGATGTCGTCTATTCTAATGGGTCTGGGGAAGGTCCGATCTCGGACACCCCAGAAATACCAGATGCCTCTCTTCCTTTCAAATCATATCTAAACTTGGTGATTGGCGTTGGGGCATAAATACCGGCCGCATTCCCCTCTTGGTTAGGAAGAAGCAAGATATCCTGGTTCTCTATTCTTCTTATTCATTTTCATCTTGTCAACCGCAAGCATCCTCAAAAATGGCCGGACAACAAGACCACTGGGACTCTGGAGTGAGTTTCACACTCCGTTCATTCACAGGCCCAAACTGGGGTCAGTGTGGATTAATGCTGATGGAGCGATGAGCAGGAATACCAAAATTCTGCTTCATTTGTGGCCAAGTTGGCCGGCAAAGTTGTAGAATGGCTTGACCTACAGAAAGATGATTCCGTGCTGGACATTGGATGTGGTGGTGAGTCTGATATTCATAATCAGTATACCCTCACGTGTCACATTATACGATTGTGCTGACTTGCCTCACCCCAAAAGACGGCATCCTGGACCTGGAATTTTCCAAGGTTGTGGCCCAGGGGAAAGGATCAGTCTACGGCTTCGACAGCTCAGCGGCCATGATTGAGGCGGCGCGGAAGCTGTGCTCCGGTACGAACAATACGACATTTGCAGGTATTATTCCTCTCAACGCACACATCCATTCGATCCACTCTTTGCCCTGTTCGTTCTTAAATCCTTTTCTTCCCCCACTAACAATTGATCTCTGGGGAAAGTCCTGGACGGTGGTGAGATCTCATCAGACCCATCCCTCCAGAAGGGCACCTTTACCAAGGCCTTCTCCAACGCAGCGATGCACTGGATCCTAGCCGCCCCAGCGGCCCGTGAGACCTTCTTCCGGGACGTGCACGCTTCGCTGGTCCCCGGCGGCATCTTCGCCTTTGAGATGGGCGGCCTGGGAAACGTGGCCGAGATGCGCACGGCCATCCTGATGGCGGCAGCGCGACGTATCGGGCTCGACAAGGCGAAAGCAGCGGAACCCTGGTTCTTCCCTGACGAGGAGTGGGTGTCTACCGCCATGAAGGAGGCCGGATTCCGCGTCGACCGCGTGGAAAGGGAGTGGCGTCCGACCAAGGCCGACAAGGGCGGCGTGGAGGGGTGGGTGAGGCTGTTTGGGAAGATTGTCCTCGAGCAGTTGGATGAGAAGGATAGGGAGGATGTTGTCCGTGAGGCGGCGGATGTGCTCAGGGTGGTGTGCAAGATGCCCGGGGACGGAGAGATGATTAGCTATGTCAGACTCAGGGCTGTGGGGACAAAGATCTAAGCAAGCTGGCGAGAAGAGGAAGTGAAGGTGAAGATGGGAAGCCGAGACTATGAGATAAAGGCACGTGTTCTGGTGAATGAAGGGAAGGGAGATAATGCCACAGGACTTTGCCGCACCTAAATGGCGCTGAGTAATCCGACGGATGATTCCGTGAAGACCATGATGCCACACCAAATGTGTGCCTCTGCACTGTGCTATCCAAGGCCTCCCATCCGACGACGTGTCGTGCCGAATTTCAGAGGCGACAAAGGAAGCACAAAGAAACACACCGGGGTGTGTAATTTGTCATGTTCTGGAGGGCCATGTGTGTGATTGGGTGTCAGGCATAAAAATGCCAGATTGCCGGATGGGAAGAGGAGGGGCTCAGCGCCGACCACCATCAAATTCTTGCACCGACCTCTTAGCTGGAAGTGGCATCGCATCTCCAGAAAAGGACCGGGAGAAGAACGTGCATGAAGAGTGAAGAAGAAGAGAAAGAGGACACGCTATGATGAGACGCACCGTGACCGAACAGGACCGCCTCATCGGCTCGTACGTGCATCTGGGCTCGTTCCCACGGGCAGCCGAGGCGCTGCACACGCTCAAGAAGATAGCGTCCATGGTGAAGCCGATCATGCGAGCGCGCTCGTGGCAGGTCAAGGAGCTGGCAGAGTTTTATCCCGACGACCCGCGTCTCCTCGGTATATGCCTCCCCCTCCCCCTTCCCCTTCCCCTTCCCCTTATTCTGTGACTCACACACATATTCTGCAGGCCTCAACGTTGACCGGGGAAGAAAGATTCTGGTACGACTACGATACGCTGGTGACAAGGCACAATTCATGCCTCTTGACCAAGTGTTGGACACAATGCTCCACGAACTATGCCACATCGTCCACGGCCCGCACGACAGCAAATTCCACGCTCTGTGGGACCAGCTGCGGGATGAGTGGCAGGGTCTGGCGCTCAAGGGCTTCACGGGTGAGGGTTTCCTATCCGAGGGGAGGAGACTCGGAGGCTCTGGCTCTGGCATGCGCCAGTCGCCTCCAGCACAGGAAGCACGTCGACTGGCGCGGGCGGCCGCGACACAGAGAGCAGCAGCAGCAGCAGCAGCAGCAGCAGCGAGCCAGCAGGCAGGCAGCGGGTCCGGACGACGTCTAGGCGGGGGTTCAGCGGCACGACCACGACCGGGCGACGACATGCGACGCGTTATCGCCGATGCTGCCCAGAGGCGGAACAAGACGCTCCAAGGCTGCGCCACGGATAACTTGACGGACGGGCAGATTCGCTCCGTGACCGACAGCGCCAGCGCCAACGGGTTCCGCACCAAGGCTGAGGAGGATGAGGCTAACGAGGCTGCTATATCCCAGGCGTTGTGGGAACTGATGCAGGAGGAGCAACGACTGGAGCAGCAGCAGCAGCGGTGGTGGCAGGGCAGTGGCGACGACAATAGTGGGGGACAAGGCACGACGGCGGAGACTTTTTGGGAATGCGACAGGTGTACGCTCCATAATGAAAGCGGACATTTGGCATGCCAAGTCTGCGGGGCGACGAGGCCTCTTACCCTTCACAGGCCGGCGGCCCAGCAGCCCGAGGCAAGCCAAGCCACCGCTGCTTCTTCCGCTGCAAACCCTTGGACTTCGGCTACTGCGACACGGGGTAGGCCTGAGGTGTTTGACCTCACCGAAAGCCCACCGAGACGGAGGAGCGACAAGAGACCAAGGGCAGGTGACGGGCCAACGCCACGGTCATCGTCTTCGGACACGATACGGCCGCCGCCGCCGCCGCCGCCACCACAGCAACAACAGCAACAACGGCAACAACAGCAGCAGCAGCAGCAGACGTGGGTGTGCCGGTATTGCACCACGAGGATGGAGAGGAAGTGGTGGACATGCTCCAGTTGCGGGAGGATGAAGGACAACTCACGCTGATTTCAGTTCGTTGCCTGATGACGATGACGATGACGGCCGTTGCGAGTGGGCAACGAGCGGCGCACAATGTTTTTTTTTAAATCTCCCTCATGTAACTTCGTAGCCGAGCAACCAAGATGCCAAATGCACTACTGATATATGTTGAGAGGGGTAAATACTGCATCTGCCACCTGCGTCTATTGAACTCTCTGGTGGCGATCCGTGGCAAAACAAACGGGGCCCATACCATCCATGCTAATGTTGCACGAAGATGGTGGGATCTGACGTAGTTTGGGTAAACCTTTTTTTTTCTCTTGTTCTTCATCTGTGTTGAGCAATGTCATGGCGGGGGTCCTGAAAAGCCAATGACGCACCATGGTATCCTGTCTCTTGTTCAAGGCTTTTCTTCTCTTCTCTCATGAACTTGGGACCTGGCGGTGAATACTAGTACCACTACGGCAGCTTCATTGTAGAGTAGGACAACGTGAGCCTGTCTTGAATGAGAGGGGAAAAAATAATGATAAAACAGGGTGTGTGTGTGTGTGTGGATTGCCAACTATGGGGAAGCCCCAGCCCTGTTCATGTCCAGAATTTCATGCTATGCTGATCAAGATTGCTTAGAAGGCCAGACGATGGGATGAAAGGGGAAGGAAAGAGAAGCTAGAGGAAGAGATATTTATTCCATGTTGAAGGATAGAATGGACAGTGCAGTGAGTGTACAGAGCGTCTGGTGTGTGTTTGTGTGTGTTTGTGTGTGTTTTAGTTATTTATACTTATATTTATTTATTATTTATTTAATATATATATGTACTATGTACGCAGGGGGTCGATGACGCACACACACACACACACACACACACACACACACACGGGCGGCATGTGACCTAGTCCGTACCCATTTCCAGTTCAGTACTGCTACGCCACTGTCGTAGGTGTAGCGGGGGCAATGATCTGATTCTTTAGCGGGTAGCATGGTAGCTTGGAGCCTTTGGGAGGTTGTCTCTCGAGGTCTTGATGTGGTGATGGTATAATGATATCAGATGAATACGGGTCAGCGGGAAAAGATGAATACATCAAAAGCAGTTGATAATACTCCACATATAATACGCAGTATCATTATTACACGTTGGGGAGTACGGATCAGTAGCTAATATACTAGTCTGAGATGGTGATATAGGCCGCTCTGTGTTAAAATAATAGCTAATACTATCCGTAGGGGGGGGGGCAAAGAGCTGGCAGAGCTGGCAGTAATAATAATGATGTTATTGATATGGGAAGAGAGGCGACTAGGACTGTACTGGTGTAGAAGATTGTTCACACTATTGACAAGTAAAATCAGCAGGAGAGGAGCAACCAGCATCGCCGTTAGCGCCTTCCTGCCTACCGCGCCTGGCTCTCCTGTATTTTTCAGCGGAAAAAAAAAAAAAAAAAAAAAAAAAAAACTTGACCGTCAAGAAGTGCAGAGAAGCACCAGCCCATTCTATCCATATACAAACGGCCCTGGAGCCGATTCATCTCTCCTCTCATTCCACTCTCTCCCGCTCATCATTTCCTCCTTAATACCCCTGTCATTGTCACATCTTTATTTTCGTCCTCCTGTCGCTTCTCCTACGCATGAGACCCAGCGCCTAGCAGGGAGGATGAGGGGGGAGGAAACATATACTACTAACCACTAGCATTACCTACCTGCTCCGCATCCCACACACGCTAACAATAATACTGAGCACGACTTGCGGATAGATCGATTGATACTACCACGCTCTGGAACGATACTTACAGTGTACGGATATGGCTTACCATTCATTGTAGGGTATCATCATTGCTACCACTAGAGAATATGCTATGAGCTGTACGGTATTGTGAGAGAGCACACAGCTTCCGCGTACACAGATGCCCCCACACACACACACATACACACACATACACACATACACAAATCATACACACACAAATCATCCACCCACTCTCTCTTTGCCGCAAGAGCCGGACCGTGGCTGCCTTTGGCCTGATACCACCCACCCAAAAACTGTTCGGAGCGGCAGTTGGCTGTTGGCGCCATCCTTCTTGGCCCTCTTGCCCTTTTTTTTTTTTTTTTTTTTCCCCTTCCTGCCCAGTCAGCCAGCCCAGCCGGTGCCGGTGCCCAGGGTCCAGACGTCCAAAGGCAGTACGAGTACGGCAATACTCTGAGTCCTGTACCCACCAGTCTTCACTCTCCGTACCGCGGGTCCGTACTGCGAGTTCGTACCGCTGCGAGCCTCTCCCTCTCTCTCTCTCTCTCTTCGAGCTGTTTTCTGCCTTGAAAGGGG